ACACACACACACACAAGTTACTATAACAGAGATTATGCTCTCAACACATACACACACAGACACACACACACACACTCATCAGGGTGTTGATCAGAATCATCAAATGCCAAACACTGACAGGAAGCTCATCCTGTAAACATCTGCAGAATATGAGCGCAAATGTGTGTGTGTGTGTGTGTGTGTGTGTGTTTTATATCAGTGTGTGAGAGAGCAAAATGGTGTGTGTGTGAATCAGGCCTCAGTGCTGCAGTAGATGCTGCAGGAATAGTGTAATGTAGGTCAGTCGTCAAGATCTGCAGAACACTCAGACAGCTGTGTGTGTGTGTGTGTGTGTGTGTGTGTGTGTGTGTGTGTGTGTGTGTGTGTGTGTGTGTGTGTGTGTGTGTGTGTGAGCTGAACACTGGCCTGATGGTCTGCAGTAATGTGTTAATGAGCCGCTCAGACAACAGAGACACTCAGATAAACACAACTGCAGCACCAGTGTCCCAAACACACACACACACACACGTGGAAAACAACACTTTCGGTCCGTGTGTGTGTGTGTGTGTCGTCCTGCAGCCGCTGCTGTGTGTGCTGAGCTTTACTCCCATAATGTTGATTATTCTGAATATATTCATTATTAAACACATTTTTGATGTTCTGGAGTGTATTTAGAGTGTATTCTGCAGTGTTTGTAAAGTTTCTGTCCACAGTACACACACACACAGAAGACAATACGGCTGTGTGTTCATCTGCTGTTTCAGGCTGAGTATTAACCACTCCAGAGCTTTATAAAGACAACACTGGACACATATTCAGCAGATAGAAGAACATTTATCACACACACACACACACACACACACACACACACATGTGCATTCTCAGTTCTTCATCAGTGTTTTATTGCTCAGTTTTGTCGTTCAGATGTTTGAGATTGGCTTCATTTCTCTTCTCTCTGCTCAGTTCTTCCTCTTATGTGCAGGTGTACAGTGTACGGCCCTATTGACTCCATAACTCCGCCATCGTCTCCTCTCCCTCCAGTGTGTCCAGCCCTTCACCAGTTTCTGTCTTCTGTTCAACACTGAAGGAGATGTTTAGAAGAATGCTGGAAACCTGTAACCATTCACTTCCATAGCAGGAAAGACGCACAACTTGCCTCAACTAATACCTTATCAAATGCACACACACACACACACACACACACACACACACACACACACACACACTGATGTTTTCTGAGAAGATGAGCATCTGAAGACCAAAACTGAAGACTGAAACACTGCAGAGACAAATGAAGCGCTCTCAGCAGAAAATAACTCTCTCACTTTCCATAACTTGTGTGTGTGTGTGTGTGTGTGTGTGTGTGTGTGTGTATATATGTGTGTATGTGTATATAAATATATGTGGAGTTTCAGATGCTGGAGAAACGCAATGTGTAAAGCAGGTTTCATTACGTTAAAACCTGTCTTAATAATACACTAACCAACCACAGAACTGGATATTTCCTCTTTGTCGGAGCATTCTCTGTAAACCCTAGAGATGGTTGTGCGTGAAAATCCCAGTAGATCAGCAGTTTCTGAAATACTCAGCCACGCTCAAAGTCCCTTAAATCCCCTTTCTTCCCCATTCTGATACTCGCTCTGACCTGCAGCAGATCCTCTTGATCATGTCTACATGCCTGAAATGCAGTGAGCTGCTGCCCTGTGATTGGCTGATCAGACATTAGTGTTGGACAGGTGTACCTAATAAAGTGGCCGGTATGTGTATATGATTAAACAAACAAACATTTCTCCATCATCTTCCAGAAGACGGACACTAAGATGCAAGGATGTCATGGTGGCTTAATGTTTAGCAATGTGGCCTCACAGCACTCACGGTGCAGGTTTGAGTCCTGGCTGGGTCATTTGGTGTTTCTGTGTGGAGTTTGCATGTTCTCCCCGTGTTGGCGTGGGTTTCCTCCGGGTGCTCCGGTTTCCCCCACAGTCCAAAGACATGCGCTATAGGTGAATTGAATAAGCTAAATTGTCCATAGTGTATGAGTGTGTGTGAGTGGGTGGGTGTTTCCCAGTACTGGGTTGCAGCTGGAAGGGCA